TCCGCCCACTCCCCATATAACGGTACTGTTAAAAACTACTAAAAGCGCGATAAATCAAGCACTAAACACGCCAGAGACATTAAATTTTATCTCTGAGATGGTATAAGATGACTTTATAGGAACCGCGTTCAAAATTAGACAGTGGGCGTGGCACAGCCCACTTTTAGGTGAAAACCCATATCTCGAGATCAGCTTAACCGATTTCAACCAAATTCGGTGCGTAATGTTCTTTTCTTGTTTCTATGTCATAGTGCGAAAATGGGCGAAATCGGATTACAACCACGCCTATTTTCCATATGACACCATTTTAAATACCACTTGATTCTTTCACTTTCCACTATGCAAATCAAGCAACAATGATTATATCGGCGTAAAACTTTGCGTGAATAATGCAATTAAAGTATGCCACCTTGCGGCCAAAAATTGTCTAAATCGAACCAAAACTGTTCAAACCCCTGAGTACTATATATGTGGACCCCAGTGCCTATAGTTGACCTTCTACCGAAAATATCAGTCAATCCACAAAGAAATCTCAAACGAGTATACCATTTGACTTTGCGAGAGTATAAAATGTTCGGTTACATCCGAACTTAGCCCTTCCTTACTTGTTAAAATTAATTTATATCAGTGGAACGAGTATTGTAATAAAATGCGAAATGTGAACGCAAATTACTAATACAAATTTCTACCCAACTACTTACATACATACTTATGTATTTGCACACATATTTACCCATTCATACAAACAAATATACGTGTATGGCAGAGTTTTCAGATAAGGGCATTCTATAGAAAATGTCCCGGTTATCAATAGACCATCACGTCTCCTAGTGCCATTAGTCAATAACGGTATATATCGTAACGGCAACAAACTGACCTTAAACTTATTTAGTCCCCATCGCGCTGTCAAACGGTTCCTTTGCGCACAGTTATATTGCTTAAAATTGAGAAACCAATCGGCAAATTAAAAAGTTTTAAGTAAGAAATTCGCTCAAAAATGTTAAAATGTTATATGAAGTGAAAATTAAAATTTTTAAATAATGTGCTCATTAAACTATTTACTAAAATTCGGGTATATCTTTATGATAATAGTGACCTTCTCAGATAAGCAACTTGATAGCAGTCAAAATTCTGATAAGTATGGAATTTGTCTTTAAACTCTTATCGCTCTTCTCAAATATTTGCATTTTTTGGCCAGTTGTAGTTAGAGTAGTAGATGGCTCAAAGCTATCCATGGCTGTTCAAGTTCAACAAACACATTTATACAAGTCTGTGCAACAGATTTGCCGTTGAACATATCTGCCTCATACTTATTATGAGTCCATAAATTGTTTTAAAACAATTAGATAAAAAGGGTACGAGTAGATAATACATTTAGTACTATGTGCGCTGGATAACACTCTAACATAGTTATAGATTTATGCAAACCATTTTTGTAAGTTTGAATTCGTCGAAATTTCACTTATATTAGTTATAATATAGAATGCCTTAGTTTCTATTTATTTTCTGTTCGATTCTTAACCTTGAAGTTATAGATTGCACGACTTAGATAAATCGAATAATGGAGAAAATAAAATTGCAATAGAGAAAATTATAGAAACATTTTTCAAGTTCTTAATTATTATTCTTACATGGAAAACCAAAATTCAGAAGGTATTGAGACTCAAGAGATAACCACGTACAGTTGTTCAGGCGATGAATACGGATTCTTACAATTTAGCTGGCGAATATATGTTATTGCCCTTTTGAGTGCGAAAAGAATAAAACTCGGTAATAGAAATGTAGGGGCCATTTATTTCTCCCATTTGTCTTCGATGACATTATGCAACATCTCTTTCAACGTTTAAAGCTACTGCTAATATCTGACGAATCCAGATATTGCACGAGTTCTGTGGGGTTTTATTTATGTATATGTGGCCATGTCGAACGGTATTTGGTTTGGAATATTGAATTTTAAGTATTATATTGCATAATTGCTTGCAGTTGCTAATATAGTTTTTAGAATTCTGCTTTCGTTTGATAATATTTTAAAAAAGTTTATTGAGAATGAGATTATTGTATAAGGTAGATCTGTTAATTGCCGTTTCTTAATATCCTGCAATTGGTTTGCGGAACGTTCGGTGAATAGAAGGGAAAAAATGAAGGAAAACATTAATTTTATATACAAATATTTTATTCTATACTCGAGGGTATTCTAAACAGAGATTACAACTTTATGTTAGTGGTGCAATAGCCACTTGATATATCGGATTTATATAAAAGGTTTGACAGCATTTTTGGAATATCAATCTAAAATATGCCCGGGCAAAGTCGTCCTAAACACTCGAATACACTACAGTCGGCCAGTATTGTTTAGTATTGAAGTGGTATTTTTTCAAAGTTACCCTAATATATTTTTAAATAGAGTTAATTTTATTTAATAATGCATACATTAAATGAGCAATGTACAAAATTTTATTCGAAATGATCACCTTTTGCTTTCACACAGGTCTTTACAGCCTTTGATCTATTATATATTGACGACGCTGTTCGAATCAAAGAGTTTTTGAGGCTCTTCAAATTTCTCTATTCCAACTCTGACCACAAACTGTAATCCAATGGCTTCAAGACTGGACTACCAGATGATATACAACTGCAGCTAGGTTTCATATGTTGTATTTAAGTCACTGCTGGCCTTGTTCATGGAGCAAAATCTTGCTGGAAGATTCAAGGCTTTCCATCGAAGAGAGTATTGCATAACTGTTTTACCAAGCCTTCTCGAACATCATCCTGGAACACTTTTGCCCCAGTTTTAATCCTTTTTTCACAAAAGTGAAGAGGGGTAACGTCTTTTAATAACCCCCAAACCACTACAGCATTCACCTCCTATTTTGAGCGCCTAGAATAACATTGTTTGCAGGGAAAATACTTTCAGGTGTTAGGAAAACTTTATATTAAAAAATGTTGCGAAACAATTCAATACTAATTATTGGACGAAATCGTAAATGGATTGCAATCAAATTTGGTTAATAACTTATTATAGGTCACAAATCGGTTTTACTACTATATTTTAATTCGCGTCAGCTAAAATTGCATTAAAATCAGCTTCAAATGAGATATGTATATAGGATATAAACTCAACTGAAGAAGCTAAATTTAATATGATGAGTTGATGTGAAAACGGCAACCAAGGTCAAAGTCTATATCCATATCACTTAATTTTATTAAAGTATCACACATTTTGTCAGGTGGAAAGTCGGAAATTATTAGAAAGGCTATATTGGGGACAGAGAAAGGGATAGGCTGATTGAGTTAATTTTGGTATTACTTATACTTCAGTAATTATGAGCATATTTTCAAGCAATTGAATAAATATATACTCGGCATAAGGTTTGTTAAAACAACGAAAATCAATATAGGTAGTTTTTGGGAGGTACGAATACCTTGCTAAATTCGCATATTATTGGCATTAAACCATAGTTATATATATATATTTATATAATTATATATATATTATACATATTATTCGTTAAACTATAGTATTGTATATCTAATATTATACATTCGGTTAATTTTGCTGGGATATCTTACATATTGACTGATATACGAAGTATATGGCATAATGCCAACCGGAAGTTTGAAAATCTTATATTAGATATGTATATAAGAGATAGGGGTAGCATTGGCCCGATTTTATCTATTTTTGGTAATACAATATACTATTAAAAAAATAACTTGCTCCCTGAGTTTCATGAAGCTACCTCAAATACCATCACCAACATATACGGGGTAAAATCAACCGAATATTTAAAAGTTCTGTGATTAGTTATATGGGGGCTAAGGCAAATTTTCACCCGATTTTACCCATTTTAGGCACAAAATTGCATCATTAGCTAGATAGCCCACATATTAGCCGATATATGCGGTATGAAATAAACCGGAAGCTCGAAAATATTTCGATAAGGTATATGGGGGCTAAGGGGAGTATTGACCCGATACAATCCATTTTTGACATACAAGCATACAATTATCAGATAGTGAGTCTCTCCGAATTGCAAAATTAGATCTCACAGATTGACCGTTATTTACGATAAAAAGTTAGAACTAGGCAATGGGGTCCCCATATTTGTGCAAAGTTTTGTTCCAATACAGTCCTCGGTGCTTGGTTTGTATAGTGAGATTTTTAAAATAATCCTATGTACCACATTTGGTTGGAATTGGTCGAGTAGTTCCGAAGATATGTGATTTCACTAAAATGTGGGCGGTGCCATGCCTATCGTCAAATTTTGACATCGGCTCCTATGAACCCCCTTGTATAATCCCGGATTAAACATTTATTGTATCTGACGCATTTGGTTATTGATTTATGGCACTTTTAGTAGTTTTTAACAAAACTGATATATAGGGAGTGTCTGGCGTTATCATCCGATTTCATTCATTTTCAAACTGTCGAAGGAGGAGTCGACATTATGTATTGCAATGTGTGCAAATACGAATCGTTTTACTGAATAACAGCCTTGTATATATTGGGGAACTTAGTTATCGATTAAAATGGCGTTTTGTAGGCGCGGCGCCAGTCCGATTGCCAAGGAATATGTGTAAGGTTCATCAAGATATATTAATTTTTACTTAACTTACAGCTTGCACTATCTCGATTAGTTTTAGGTGATACATACCGTTAGGTGAACAAAACTATTTTACTCTGTTGCAACTTGTTGCGAGAGTATAAAATTAACGACACTTTTTCGAGAAAGCTTTGTAATAGAGTTTACGACAAAACTAAGTAGTACAAACAAAAACTAAAAATCAAGATCCTTTATTCTAACCTACTCACTCTAACCAATGTTTACCCTTTCCGTAGTGGGAGCGAATGTCAGAGTTTTATCTAATTCATTTGTATTTTATTATTTTACAAATTTTTCTTACAAACTAAGCATGGAAAAAAGTTACGAGTTAGCACATATTTTTATATACAAAATATATATATAGCATATTTTATTTTATCTTTATAATTTTGGCAGGAACACCTCATACATTGCGGCCAAGTACTAGAGCAGTGTCCGAACAATTGTAACGCCTTTGTGCCACGAATTCGTATGCGCTCTCACCTAAAAGAGTGCCCACGAGCCAAAACACAACCACAATCGTCGAATAGCATTGAACGCCTCGACCAATTCATGGACAATCGAATAAATCAGCTGGAAAAAGATTTGAGTGCGCTGCGTTCGGTACTCAATGAGGAGATCGGCCAACGATTGCATCTGATAACAGATGTTGGGAATTTGCGTAAATACAATCAGGTCTTGGAGGATTGGAAACAAGAAGCCGATGATAGTGTAAGAGGCGTAAAAGCGTTACTCAATGAAGAGATTGTGCAACGTCAGTTCGAGGTGGGCGAGGCCTATAAGGACAACGTGGCCAATTTCGAAATGATAAAGGTTGAAAAGTACATTCCTAATATTGAAAATATTTTATAAATTTAAATTATTGTAGAAAGTCAAAGCCGATATACAAGGTGAAATGGACGTGTTGCAAAAGAATATTCAACAATTGTCGATGGAAGTAGCAGAACATGTGAACCACTTAAACGATAACACCATGAAACTGGAAGAGATGATCTTGGAAAATGAGAAGAAGAATCTGTTAGTATGAGCTGACGCTAGTAGAATTTTTACTCAGACTTTTCTCATACATTGCAGTAACAAATTCATCGAGATCGAAGAGTTCTTAAATGTTATTGATGGTGATTTGAAAACCAAGTTTATTACCAATAGCGATTTAAATGCGAAGCAGATGAATATGGATCTGGAAGTGAAGAGCATGAAAAATATCGTTTGCGAGACGGAAGAGCGCTGTGAGAAATTGGAGGGTATAGTGAATCAAATCGACACTAAACTGCATCAGACCATGCAAACCCTGGCGGATTTGGAGAACCATTTGGCCACACAACAAAGGCTCAGCAGCATACAAAACACAAGAGGTAAGTTCGCTATTTTGTGGTACTCCACTCAACAAAAGTCAAAGTAATGTTTGCACTCATGAGCAGGTCACTTGATTTGGCGCATCAAAGACTTCTCGAAGAAACTAGAGGAGGCGAAACAATATGAAACGATACTGCATAGCGCCATGTTCTCCAATAAGCCATATGGTTATGCGCTGCGCGTAAGTTGACGCCCTCTATTGATCACAAAAATAGCATATTGTTACATGATTGTGTTGCCAATGCACTTATCTAACGGTTTGGTTATGAACTCACTTGCAGCTCGACATACACCCTAACGGTAAAGGTACGTGGAAGGGCCGCAACTTGATCGCATGCCTCAATGTAATTGCCGGGGAGTATGATGCTCTGCTGTCCTGGCCGTGTCGCCTACAAGCTGACATAATTATACGCGCGCAAAGCAACAATGCCGAGGAGTCGCAGGATTATGTCAAGACAATTCTGGTGCGCAAGAAGAACGATGAATTTATACAGAACAACCAGTACTTTCATATACCACATAAGATTATAACGAATTCGAATTTCTTGCGTAATGATTCTTTATATTTGGAGGTGCGGGTTTTAAAGTGACCCAAAAACATTGCAATAATTCTACTTATATACATATATACACATATGTATGATTTCTATACATATTAAGGTTTTCATAGGTATATTTGAATAGATAAGCGAACCAGTTTGTAAGCTAAGCATGTTCACAGATTTCAATTTAAACTAAGAGAGAACCATGATTTTGTATATACTTGTATGTATGTACATATCTATGCCACTTTCACTTTTTTGCCACTTTTATATAATAAATGTATAAGTATGTATCAGTATACGAAATATATATAATAGAATATAATATATAATCGTATATTATGTTCTTTTTCGAAAGTCTGGAAAATGCATCAATTTCGTTCTTTAAGTGTGGCCAATTATCTTCCCTTCTATGCACATGGTAGAAGATATTTACGGAACAAAAGTTAAACGTCTATGCTCTCTTATCACTAGTTTATATGCATCAGAACGTTGTGAGCAGTTATGACCAAGGACAAGCTTTTGTGGAACAGAGCTAAGGCAGTATAATCAGATATTCATAATTAAAATAAAACAAGATAGAACCTTTTATTTATTATATACTAGCTTTTACCCGCGGCTTCGCTCGCATCGAATCCATCAAATAAGTATTTTACTTTTTTATTTGGAATTGGCTCGTTCGTTGTCGGCTTGATGACTGAAATATTGAAATGATATCCTGATTCACCTTTACTGAAAATTAATGGATACTGCAAAGCGTCATAAAATGTATGAGTATCAGCTACGCGCTTTAACGCAATATCATGTTATATATATATTTCTCTTTCTACTCCATCTATATACTGGCAACGACGATTTACTTCATTTTGTTCATCACCCATAAAATACACCTCCAAAAATTTATGCTGATCATTATTTCCTGGAAATAGTGATCCAATTTGATGATATATTTGTCCTTGTACAGTAAAAGTTGGTGAAAATCCAGGCGTTCTTATCACTTTATCAACTCCGAAATATGTCATTTTAAAGCAAGAATTATACTTCCTTATTTTACTTAGAAATCGTTTTGACTCATCTGTGACACTAAACAATAAAGTTTTTAAAGGTTCTTCTGGTTCACCAAGTAATAGAAGTGAAACTTTACCAGTGCTGCAACACATTCCAGCAGTTTCATCTTTCCATTTAAAAGCATCACAATACTGACATTTTTTATCCATTGAGCCAATAACAATTAAGGGATGATTAGAATACTCAACTAAAGGATCATATTGAAAACCAATACCATTATTTTTTTTCTTTAATTTTCATTTATTTTTGTTTTCTTTCATTTTTAATTTTTTCGACAAACAATCATTTCTGCCAATTTTTTTTTTTTCAATTTCAAAATTTTCAAATTTATTTTCCAAACATACATCCTCCAAAATAATTTTTTTTATTAATCCGTAAAAAATTTATAAATTTTGTAATAAAAAATATCCTATGTTCATTCTGACACCTCTAAGAGCATATGTACAAACTTTCATGATGATCTGTTAAGTAGTTTTTGCGTGAAAGCTTAACAAACAAACGGACTTTCGCATTTATAATATTAGTATAGATTGATATTTGTTCAAAAATGTCCTAGAACTAACAAACCCTTACACTATTTATTTTGCGTTGGTCTCTGAAATGTGAAGACATTTTGGGCAAAATCATTTTAAATGTTTGAAATACCAAAACAAAAAAAAAAAAGAAAATAAATAAAATTCACTGTTTCTTAAACCATAACACAATTATAGTCTATTTTTTTTTAATGGTTAAATATTTGGTTATTACTTACTCTAAGTTTAGGTGTTCAAACACTTTATACTCTCGCAATTGGCAAAGATCAAAGGCTGAAGCATATTTTCTTGAATTGGCAAAATTTTATATTACAAAAAGGAAAACGTTGTGTAATAATTCAATTATCGCTATTCTACGAAATTATGAATGGATTAAAATCATAATTAGGATCTTATTAACATATACGTAGTATCGATTTGGCAACTCTAGTGTTGCAATCTGGCCCCTCATAACTTTATCTTAGAGTTGGTCATTTATGATGTTATATATATGTACATATGTACATACTCCGAACCTTTTGACATACGAACACTATTTTTGTTGTTTACAGTAACTTAAAGTATTCTTATCGGCCAAGAAAATGGAATTTATTCGCGAAAATTTTCGCGCGATTATTTTTGACAACTTTGGTTGTAGATTCACTCAGCAACAGTGTTTCGGCGAATTTAATTCAAATGTTGGCGATGAAGCTACATCAAGGATCAATGTTTATCGTTGATATGGTGAATTCAATAGTGGTCGTAAATCATTCAAAGACGAATTTCGTGAAGGTCGCCCAAAACGAGTTGTTGTTCCGAAAACTGTAAATGCTGTGTGCAAACTGATATTGCAAGATCGTGTGACCTATCGTGAGATTGTGACAACTATAGGCATTAGTGGGACCAGCATACATTCAATATTAGATAAACATTTGAATGTAAATTGTTCACGTTGGAAAAAAACCAACCGCCGAAGACGGATCACTTATCACAACAACAATGCTCTCATACATCGGCTGAAATAACTGCAATTCTGAGCATTTTTCTCAATAAACGCTACCTACACTTTGGAAAACGAAAACTTTATTTTTTTTACGCGTTGTATATCGAACTTTGTGCCTGAAAGTTCTACATTACTTTAGTATACAAAAAACCTCATCCTAAAGTCATTATATAATATCATATTTGGATCAGAAGCGCTTCACTCACTTTATAGCATAGACCTTGTCCCTTCCGACTACCATTTGTTCCGCACGATGTAATTAATTTAAGCGTAGCCGCTCGTGAAGATTCGATGGTGGGTGAAATAACTGGGGATGCGATGAAACAACCGGCTTCCAACACGTGTCATGCAGGACCGTTGAAGTATCGCAGAAGAATCCGGAGCGGTGTCGATCGAATGCAGTTGCGCGCAGGAGGTTTCGTATCAACGAAAAAGGAAGCAACTCGCTTGGCCTGTTCACGAGACGGATGTGATTTTGCGAATGTTATGATGTGGCGCTCAGCCCCGTGGACGATAAGCGAATAAAGATGTGAGGGCGATGATCCCGTCCTTTTTGTTAGGTCTACAGGTGCCGTGTTATGGTGTGTTGTGTTGTCCTGTGTGGTGTGGTTTCATCGAGTGGTGAGAACCTGTGAATGTTTTCTGGTGTAGTGTGTTGCATTAGGGTGCGCCAGTTGTTACCGGAGAGAGTGGTGATACTGAGGCTTAGCTCATTTAAACAGATACAAATATTAAAGTTTGACTAAGCCAAGAAATACTTAAAAAAAAACTTGTTAATAATGGAGTATAGAAGCTCTCCAATACAATTATTTTACTACTGACTACAATAGTTATCTGACCACGAAGAACCCCGCAAATAATTCATTCGAGCAGACATCTGCAACTGCTGAGTTAGTAAGCATTAACTAATATAAACGTTTACAGAACTTCTGCACAATTTAAAAAATGATGGAAATAATAAAATATTTTGTCTAAACTAACATATTTAATAATTTTGCACAGACTTTTTCATATTTTTGTACATTTATTTATTCGTTTGAATTTATTTTTTCAAAATTGATGTACATACATATATAAGTGTAAATGTAATAAATTTGTATGCATGTGTTTTTGTTTGTAATGATATAAAGATCGCAAACCCATAGCATTAGGAAAATTGAAGCATATAAGTAAATGCACATTGATATTATCATTAGTTGATGTACGACACAATACATTAATTAGAAAATTAGATTTTCGAGATTTGTGATTGAGATTTTTCCGTTTTTTAATTTTTTCATTACAAAAAATTTTTTTTTTAAATATCTTCCATTATATACTATACTACACTAAGTTAGGTTACTTCACTTATGCAGTTTACAATATTGAATGCTTCTATAAGATAAAACAACTCTGAATATTGACTATAATATTTTAAATATAAAAATAGTGTAAAGTTTATATATTTCAAGGCATTTGAGTTGCATATATTCGAAATACAAAGTAATCATACATTCCAGCACTGGAATCGTTCATTATCAAGGAAGCAAAAATTAATCAACAAATACTGTTGTAAATTTCCAGGCCGTTTGCAAGTGCTATTTATTTATATGTGTATTTGTGTTATAAGCGCTGATTTTGGTACTTAGGAGGAGCGTTGTTCACCAACGAGAGCGTATAATGCGTGCTTATAGTGACCCGATGTATCGCCCTGTGTAAAGAGAAAAAATAAGTCAAATATATTAGTAAAAAATAGTTTTTTTAGAACAGGTAGGATGTTACCTTAATCCAACTCTTTAAACTCTTGCCGTATATACGCTCGAATTGAGCCTTAATATCAACCATATCGATCTAGAAATAAAATTGAACGCATATCATTAACGGATTTTCGAAATAATAAATGTACCTTTGTATATTTTAAACGTATTAACTCACTTCAGAGCGCGTGATTACGACCCGTATCAGTTGTTTATCATTTGTTCCAATGCCAGCCATACTCTTGTGCAAACGCGCGGCAAAGTATTCCGTTTTGTTGGTGACACACTTGTATATGGCGATCAAACCTTCCATTATATCACCCGAGAATTCTTTACGTATTGCCTTCTCCAATGTGTGGCCAGTCATTTTTTCATACTCTTGGAATATCTTTAGAGATAAAATATATGAAATTGTATATAAATAGAAAGAACAAATAGTGGTTAGTTGAAGCACTCACCAAACGTAACTGCTGGTAGTTACGTTGGCATAAAATCATGTTGAACATGCTCTCATCAGTGCCGACACGTAGTTCACCTGCCTTGAGCAGCTCACGTGCATCCGACTGCGCTGCAACCGGGTCAATTTGACCACTCTCGTCCCGTGCTGCTGTGCAGAGCGACACTAAGAGACGCTTAAAATTGCCGGACGTCTCCGACTTCAATTCTGATTCCAAGTGGGCACCGTATACTAAAAATCAAAAAGTTGTATTCTCTATTGACCTTTGGCGATTTGTATCTTGGTTTTTTTACTTACAGCGCAAGTACTGATTTTTTATAGTGTGAATTTCCACATTCGATAAAGTGCATAATATTTCGATGAGCACCTCCTCGTCGGTGCCAATCCCCGCCATGGCATCATTTAACTCCGCACAGTAAAAGTCGACAATTGGACGCAAGAGACCCACAAGCAACTTTTCAAAATTACCGCTAGTTTCGGATTTAACATCTTCGATTAAGTCCTTGCCAAAATGAGTTTTATATTGACGTTGGATCTCCTGAAATAACAAAAAAGAAAAAGGTTAATATTAAATTAAAAGCAGTTTAAATATCCTGGAAGAAATTTTATTAATTGTTCGATTCCATTTCATCTACCCCCCAAACAAAATTTCAAAGTAAGCGTGTTTTTTTGGGTCCTAGCTGGCCTAATCCCTTAATAGTTATCTATATTAAAATTTAAAAACATCAAGTTTATACATATATATAATTCATTAGAATATATTAATAGAAGTGTTATTACTAAATCCTAAGATTCTTCGATGCGGAAGTTTTGTAATATGTATATACAGTTTTAAGCTTAAATAAATTCACTGCATTGTTACAAGCTTTCGGTTTAACTTAGTAAAGTTCAAAACCATTTTGCTTTTCTAGTAAAGACAAAACTTTTTAATAATATATATAAAATTGTAATGAAAGCTTTCAAAAAGGACACCTTCACTTGTAGACCAGTCACAGCGAAAATCACAATTTGGTATCTGATATTTACTCCATTACTCATTTAATAGTAGTTTGTTTAACTACATGTATAATAAGTAAGGAATCGATAATTTCGGGTGTAACCGATACAATAATATAAAATGAACCTGAAGTTTGAAAATATTTATACTAGGTATATGGGGGCTAAAATACCTCCCGACACTATTTTATTCATCATAAACATATTCTCCCCGAATTTTAATCTTAGACCTCACTAATTGACCGATATGTGCGGTAAAAAATCAGCCATATACACTTAGGACACCAACATTTTTTAACCCTATCTTTCAGAGCGTATGAATAATTACTAAAAAGACTTCTTCACGACAAGTTTGTTTGAGTCAACTTTAGCTGTTTAGAAGATATTTACAATGTACTATTTAGAGGGCGGAGCACTTTACAAAATGTTTAGCCCACTTTATAGTATTTCGTTAATGGCGTTTTATGGATGTAAGAGTTGTGCGATTGCGCACATCTGACATAGCGATCTCTCTTGGGTGCCAAAGAACATATGTAGCAAGTTTCTTCAAGATACCTCAATGTTTACTCAAGTTATCGCTTGCACGACAGACGGACGATGGACAGACAGATAGTCACCGGGATTTCAACTCGTGTCGTCATCCTGATCATTTATATACATATATATAACCATATCTATCTCGATTAGTTTTAAGTGATACAAAAAACCGTTCAGTGAACAAACCTATTAAACCCGAATTGTGAACATTATATTAGGTAAAGTAAAAAGTTCGTTCGGTTTTTTTTATTGATTTTTCAAAAGATAATAACTTTGTGTACATTTGTCCGATTTAAGTCAAATATGCGCCGTTTTGTTCGTAAACTTGTTGCCAACGAGATGCCAACTTCATTCTACCCCTCTCGTAGAAGACTGCGTCCATATTGCCAAAAAACTCGGAGAGCCAATTTTCACAGGCCTCTCTTGAGGCGTTCGCCATGGACAGGAAAAGATGGTAATCACTTGGTGCCAGGTCCGGACTATAAGGTGGATGCATTAGAACCTCCCATCCGAGCTCCAGGAGCTTCTGGCGAGTCACCAAAGACGTGTGTGGCCTGGCGTTGTCCTGATGGAACACGATTCGGCCTCTGTTGATCAAAGATGGCCTCTTCTGGATGAGTGCTGCCTTCAAGCGGTCTAGTTGTTGGCAGTCCTTGGCCATCCCACCAAACACACAGCAAAACCTTCCTGGACGTCAATCAGGTCTTGGCCACCATCTGGGCCGCCAGTCACAATCCCCTTCAGAAACGGGTCGATTTTGTTGCGATTCTGCAGCGATTTGCAGATGGAAATTCGGTCCATCATGTTTTTTGCGTTAGTTCGTGTGACACCCAAACATCGAGCTCCTTTTTGAATCCAAGGTTATGCAAATGGTTCCAAACGGTTTTCTGTATTATCGCGATTTTCGACGACAGGCCTCCCGACGCGTGGTGCATCTTTGACATCGAAATTACCGGAACGGAACTTAGCAAATCACTTTTGTGCTACACGTTCGTTTACAGTATCGGGCCCATAAACTAAATTAATGTTTTCAGCCGCTTTAGCTGCTTTTTCGCTTTGATCGAAGAAAAATTGTAAAATATAGCGAATTTTCTCTTTGTTGGTGTCCATCTTTGACGAGCGCTCATAACGAACTGAGTACATCAATCGAAAAACTGTCAAATGATGCGACACGTAACACTAGTACTATGGACAATAACGCCATCTCTTAGATAAAAACCGAACGAACTTTTTACTTGACCTAATATACTACTATATTTATAAAAATGGAATTTCAGTAAAATTTCCTTACTGTCAAATGATGGCATGATAGAGAAATGCCTAAACGGGTCTCATTTCGAGAATATTTTTTAGAACATACCTGTCTCTGCTCATTTGAACGGCGGCAAATGATGTTAATTAAAGCATCTTCATCGGTTCCAAAACCTTTCATGGCTTTGCGCAAATCATGGGCATCCTTAACCGGATCGAAGCTCTGTGCGGGGAGTACAGTTGGTGTGCCCTGAAATGGATAATTTGTTGCTTACGATGTGATACTTTCTTAATTCATATATAATATCATATAATTTTAGCTTAAAAAAAGAAATATTAAAATATATTTATGCGAATATACTTAAGCGATATTTGAGCTATCAAATGCAATGTTTTTTTATTCTTAAAACGTTTTCACATATGTCGCATATCAAGAAACTGATGCACCAATACTCGTGCTCAAGAAATTCTAAATATGTAATACTTGTATGGTAAATTATGTTTGAACGTGCATATTTATGTATTTATATAGCAAGCCTATTCTATGATATTGAAATGCAGAGTTTGGTATTAGCAAATTAAAACATATATAACTTAGAGAGTGGCGAATCGAACACACCATTGGCATAAAACTAACAGACTGGCGTAATCTAATGGAGATAGAATGGAAACGATTATACATACAACTGAGTTATCTTTATACAGGATAAGTATAGCGAATAGTGTTGATTCGGAGATTTTAAAAACTCAACAAATATATAAGAAATTAATGCAATTAAAACAATAAAAAAGGTTAACACTGGCTGCACCGAAGCTATAATACCCTTTATAGGGGCATATCACATAATATAAAAAAGTATATAAAGATCTTAATCTTGATTATATTAGGCCAGTTTGTATGGCAAATATATGCTATTGTGGTCCGATCAGAGCAATGAGTCCGGAGATTGTAGCGTTGCTTTCTATAATATTCTATCTCAAATTTCGTGAAGAATAAAAAATATTTCTATCCAAGGACTTGATTTTCATCGATCAGTTTGTATGTCAGCTATATCTTGAAGTGATCCGATATCGGTAGTTCTGACGTTCTTGGAGGAAAACAAACTTGAGAAAAATTTTACATCGATAACCTAAAAACTGAGGGCTAGTTCCCGCATATAGAGACGTACAGACGGATATGGCTGAATCGACTCAAGTGGTCACGCTGATAATTTATATATGTATGTATGTACATAGGGTTTCCGACGTTTCCTTCTGGGTATTACAAACTTCGTGGCAAACTTAATATACCCTCTTCAGGGCATAAATATTATGGGTTGTATTTTTTTCTCGAAAAGTCCATATGTACAGCGTAAAGTTATTCCCGGATAAGTCATTAAAGTGGTATAACCACCTGCATGTGTAATGACAGTTCATTTGATTTATATCAGTTGGTTGTTCGATTCGTCATCTTCAATTTCCAATATGTGACTTCCAAATATGGTATTATAAAAATACTGATATAATGCACTAGCTTTTTTTTTTTTACTTTATACATATGTATAACAATGTAGCACTTCGGACACAAACCTCTCTTCGGGCAAACGGCTGATGATGGTGCAGCATGTGGCCTTTCAAGTGGGCCAATTCTTGGAAACAATGAGCGATATTGCCTGCTGGAGATTCATAACCGACCGACGTCGGCACCGGTGTATATCCATGTGTTGGCGCATAAGACGGATGCGTCGGCGGATGCGTGTAATGCGGGGAGTGTGCGCTACCGCCAATAGTGCCGTATGTTGGTGATCCCGCAGCGAATGGATATGGCGCTTGTGCATGTTGGGGATTATGTGGGTATGATGAACCCGGATAAGGTGCATTAGATGGCGTATTAATTGGTGGATAGGGCACGTGATGCTGAGGAGGAGCATGCGGGATATTGTTGGAGGGTGGGTATGGAGTTTGATGATGAGCAGACAGTGGCTGATAGTGTAAGCTATTTTGCTGCGGCACATGTTGTGGTGAAGAGTGTTGTGTGGGGTGTTGTGAGGGCGCTATCCAACCAGCGCCGAACGGCACGCCAACGGGCGCACCAGGATTGGAATGGTTGTGACTGTTGTTATATGGTGTATTGGATTTGGGTTGTGGCATGCCGGAACCCTACAAAAGATCTATGAATTATTCTATGAAAAACAGTAAGACCGCTGCGCTAGTAAGCGGCGATGATTTGCTGAACTTAATTGTGCTTTACTACATTAAGCGCTTCGTTTAGTTCTTTTAATATCTTATTTGTGTTGTATTTGTATTTTGTCAAAATATTCTTATACACACAACTATATACATTTAATTAGAACCGTTTTAAACAAGTGTAGCGGGAAGTGGCAAAGGACATGATACGCATGTATGTATATATCCAACAGGTGGGTTAGAAAATGGGTAATATTTAGTTGAAAAAATATTTCTTCTTTTAAAATTTTGATTTTTAAATTAATTAAAGGGGGTATAAAGGGTGACACACGGATTACATCTGCTGTAATCCCACATTTGGTGTTTCGCTTAAATATACTAAGGAGTCATTCTCGTCGATAACATTTTTATGAAGTAAACATTTTTTTCAAATAGCTTTTTCTTATGGTCTGAATGCAGGAAAAATCGCTAGAGGCTACATTCGGTGAATCCGGTGGTTGCGGAAACAATTGGAAGCATCATTTGAATGATTGGTGTCATAGTTAAATCAATTATGAGTTCGCCCTACTCACCCACTTTTGGTAGAACTTTCGCAAGTCCAGATTTTTATCCATATTTCGTTGATATGTTTAGAGTATCAGTTATCACAATAAATTTTTCTCTATATTCATCTAATATGTCCATACGTTTTTAACGTTTTAGACCGGAACAGACTCCGTACAACGTCCACTGACTTTACCGACTTTAATGCTCACTTGGCCTGTACGGATTTCAGCAAACCACTTACGAATGATTGCTTCATTTGGCGTTGACCGATTAAACACTCATCAAGCCACTTTCCAGTACCAGGAGCAGTTACTAATCAAAACTTGTTCGATATCTGGGAATTGTATACAAATGGATTAAATTATAGAAGCTTCCTTTCATAGAAATAATACGAACTTTTTAGTTTTCTTGGAACTATAAATCAACCTATTATTGACAGTACTTTTTTGAACGTCATACTTGTACATCATCTGACAAGAAAAATAATGACGGATTCTTGATTACAAATGTGATTGTCATAAGAACAATAGCTTTGATAATAATTTGAATTTTAAAACATTCGTTTAGGAAGATATGTTAAATATCTAAACTATCGAAACATAATATAACAAAAAGAAAAAATCGATTTTTCCAAATTTCTAGACCAGAATACACCCTTAAGTATTATTAGACAATTAAAATGAAGGGGGAACCAAATGCCACTTACCAACCCACACCAATTCAACGATAGTAAACAAATCTATGTAGATCAACTTAAGTTTATAGATTACAACAACATTATTTTCGAAATATGCTGAATGTGGTTTTTATTTTAAAAATTCCGGAAGATTGTTTGCGCCAAAGTGAGAATGTTTCTGTATGTATATATACAACATCGTAGATATATATCTACAATTGTTATTCTGGAATTTAATATTATTATTTGTAATACGAAATATTTTTGTAGTTATTAAGTACTTCTGTGCATATAAGATTTACAATATGTACATATATTTAGGTATATTATATAAGCAACACTTAAAGCTTAAATTAGTACGCACGATGCAAATTCATAGGATGTAATAGTTTAAAAAATGTAGTAAAAATTGAATTACTTACGAATGGATACATTTTAAAATATTGTGTTTCCTCCTTTTGGTTAAAAATGTTTCAAAATTCGAGTCACTGGGAATATAGCTGTAAATGAAAAACAAGAGCATTTCATATTTAAATGCTGTGTAAACAAGTATTTATTGTTTGTAATTATATTTGGTAGCCAAACTATCGCACCAATTACATGAGTACTGTCAATACTTCGATACTTAATTACTCGTACTTAACGCTAAGTTCACTTAAGTTTATTGTCATTGCAGGCACATTATACATTTGGATACATTCAACTTATGGGTGTATATGTATGTGTATATGTGGCTATACAGTAAAAACTTTAAGGTGTGTTTAAAAACAGTTGTGAAAATATTCATTACACCGTTTGCCACCGATATCAGCGTTGCCAACGTGGTGTAATATATTTTATTTGAAGTGAACTATGTGTATGTGTATGTGGCTACATATGTACAAGTGCATATATGCGTCATGTGTATATGTTCGATTATTGCGCGAATCAATGCTTCTGCAGTCACGCATTCTTTGTTGTTGGACACTTCCGTTTGGCTAGCAGCCGGTTTTAATCTGCCTTGCCTTTGGCATACACATTCGTCTCTTTCAAACCACATTTATACAGTTACTATGTCGTTAGGAACGAGCCAATGCGTCGCCAAGAAAAACGTTATGTTCAAGTTTAATTCCAGGAGCGATATTTATGTTCTTTTTTGGTATTTTCATAATATTCACATCAATTAATGTAAAATTTATATGTAATTTTTATTAATAAAATGGGGTAGTCTTTTAACAGATTTTTTGAGGTTATGTCTGTTTTGAGGCGGTGCCTTATAACTACACTAAGGAGATTGCCAAGTAATTGCGGATACAGGTACGTCATTAATAGTTGGGATTAAAAAAAAGCAACAACTATAATTAAGCCTTAGGTGGAATACCCATCATGGGTCGTCAGTATATGGTGTCTTGTGATATGACGCGATAATTAAATAAGTGTACATATGTACATATATAAGTGGAAAAACGTTCGAAAGGAATGTAACGATTTGTTTGCTGGTTCTATGAGCATGCATATTCTACAACCAAATTTTACACTTTGGGACCTTGGAGATGCATAACTCAATACTTACGACTCCGCTATAACAAATTTATATATTAAAGTAAATTATATTAAGGTGTGAAGTTTGATAGGAAATCAACTTATACGAAGACAGAATATTAAATAAAGCAAGTAAGGGAGGGCCAAGTTCGGGTGTAACCGAACATTTTATACTCTCGCAACTTGCAAGGGAAACTTCTTCAGGTGTTGGCAAAATTTTATATAAAAGGAAGTATTAATCCGATTCAACCAATTTTTAACGCAAAGACATACTACAAGTATTATCGAGAGTTTCATTTATTTGGTTCACTTTTGGTTCGATTTAGACAATTCAAGGCAATGGTCATAATGTGACATACTTTAAACGCATTATTCACGCAAAGTTTACTCTGACACAAACATTGTTACTTGATTTGCATAATGAAAAGTGAAAGAATCAGATGGAATTTAAAATGGTGTTATATGGGAAATAGGCGTGGTTGTAATCCGATTTCGCACCATCACATAAAATTATAAGAAGAATGTTATGAACCGCATTTGGTTGAAATCGGTTAAGCAAATCCCAATATATGGGTTTTCACCAAAAGTGGGCGTGGCCCCGCATACCATCACAGAGATCAAATTTAGTGTATCTGGCGTGTATAGTGCTTGATTTATCGTGCTTTTAGTAGTTTTTAACAGTACCGTTATTTGGGGAGTGGGTGGGCTTGGTAAGGTTTAAAATATACAGAAACTTCAAGTTTAATGGAGAATGTTTATTATCATTCGAAAGAACATTATTTGGCATTTATTTTTTGAAGATTATCGTTTTCAAATGTTGGCCACAGCTACATCTCAGATGGTCCATCCGTTGAGTCCAATTTTCGAAAACTCGTTCGAGCATTTCGACTGGTAACTGGCGAACGACACGCGTGATGTTTTGCTCCAAGGCTTGAATCAAAGCGGGGTTGTCCGCATACACTTTAGACTTAACATATCCCCACAGGAAATTCTAATGCGGAAGTAGGCGGTTATCATGGCGCGATAACGGTCGCCATTGACGGTTACGTTCTCACCGGCATCATTTTTGAAGAAATATGGACCGATGATTCCACCGGCTCACAAACCTCACCAAACCGTTGTTCTTTCTGGATGAAATGGCAGCTCTTTAATCTCTTCAGGTTGCTCTTCGTCTCAAATGCGACAATTTCGCTTGCATACACACCCATTGAGACAGAAATTGGCCTCAACGTTGAACAAAATTTGGCTCGAAAAGATCTCGTCGTTAAAAGCGCCAAGTCGTTCCATACGTCGGTCAGAGTTGCTGAGAACGGCGCTGAATCGACTCTCCACGATCTTCGTGTACACTCTCAGCTACGGCCGCTATATTTTCTTCACTGCGTACTGGACGCGGTCTATTCGGTCGAATATTATTAAATAATAAATACTGAGTCTTAAAATGGGTGATGGTGTTGCGAATAATACGCTCAGTAGGCCGAATATGTTTCTTTCTTTACAGAACGTAAATTTTCGTTATAAAGTTAAACGATTTGTAGACGTTGTTCAGGCATAAGTCTTTCCATGATGAAATGCCAAACAATACTGAATAAAAATAACATGACAGCTTGACACGACTCATGCAAGTACCTCTAATTGGATCACGCGTCATTATCAAGAAAGGATCCTCTCTGAATTTGAACAGTTTTGGTTCGATTTGGACAATTTCAGTCATAAGGTGGCACACTTCAAAGGCACTATTCGTTCAAATTTTATCTAGTTATATTAATTGGTGCTTTATTTGTATACTGAAATGTGAAAGAATGAAATGGAATTTAAAATTTTGTTATGTGGGAAGTAGGTGTGATTGTAGATCGATGTGCTCCATATTCGCACTGTAACATAAGAATTTCAGAAGGCTTTTATGTACCGAATTTGGTTGAAATTGGTTAAACAGGTTCCGAGATATGCGATTTTACCTACAAGTGGGCGGTGCCACGCCCATCGTCCAATTTTGGCGATGGCTCCTATAAAGCTTTTTTGTGGTAAAATTTAATGTTTCTGTTTAACAAAACGGTTATATGAGATGTGAGCGGAGTTATCATCCGATTTCACCTATTTTCACACTATCGTAAGAAGGGTTGAAAAAGTTTATGTGTGCACTTTATTCCTTTTCGACTAATGGCGTCCTTACTTTTTTGCCAAGGAACATGTGTACCAAGTTTCATCAAGATATCTTAGTTTATACTCAAGTTATCGCTTGCACAGACTCGGAATTCAACGCGTCGCGTCATCCTGATCATTTATATATATGTACATATATAACTCCATATCTATTTCGATTAGTTTTAGGTGACACAAACTACCGTTAGGTGAACAAAACTATTGTACTCTATAGCAACATGTTATAAGAGTATAATTTATATGATTCTATAAAGAAAATCGTCGGTTAATTTTTCCCAGTTCAAATCTATACATTTATGAGTAAAAAATAAATGTAACAAGAACCTTACATTTTACACATTTGCCATTGCGATTTATAAAAATATTATTACGATTTTATAAAACAACCTGATGATTTGTGAAATCCTCTGGGTTCAATCGCTGGATTGTTAAATATGGTAAGTTACTAAATATATCTTACGAACTTTTAATGAAAAACAATTTATTCTTTTTTATTTAAAATTTTATCATTTAAAATGTTCACCTAGTGTTTGCACACTAGAAGTGTTCTAAGCAACTAAACCTCCAGACTTCACTCCTATAAACCCGCAGCGCTTTCGCTTTAATTATCTATAAAGTCTATATCAATAAGTTATCGGAATGGAATATTCGAAGTACGCGCCCTAAAACGAGATATATGGTGTACATTAATTTTTTTGTCCGGGCGAGTAAACAAATATTTAAATATTTAGCGATAAAACCAATGGCTTTCCGTTATGTTGTTAATATCTTACGACAGAAAAAAGTTTGCAAAATAATTAAGTGAACATATGTATGTATGAGCTAGTAGACAATACTTTTTACTGAACAAGTTTGTTGTAAATGTTGAAAATCAGTAGGAGATAGATCTATTTCAACGATTAGGTCAATGTTAATACAAATAATGCAAAATTAATTTTGCATACTTTCTGTGGGGTGCACATTTAATTAGGTATGTCAAAATAATTGCACATTTTATGTGTACACACCCCAGAGCGCAATGGCGGCAATCAACAGGTTGTGATAGGCGACAATGATGGCACCGCTGATATGTTTATAAATGAATAATTAGAAAATTTCCGTATGTAGTATCGAATTTGACACGCAAGCGATAAATATGTATACACGGGAAGACAAATTTGAAAATACATAGCACACATACTTCTACACATACATGTGCATTGTCTGTATATGCAAATTGTTTGTTTTCGTTGGAATATTTGCACCGAATTGGCCACATGGCCACTATCGGTGGGGGAAATAAGAAAGTGAAATTATTGGCGTATCGCCAGTTTGTATTTGCTTGCTTTTGGCCATAGTGGCGATTGTTCCGCAAAAGATTTCCTTTACAATTTCGCAAAGTTCGCCCGGTACTACAATTGTAATTAACAATTTTTTAATTAAACAAGAGGAAACGTTAACTTCGGCTGCAGAGAAGCTTAATACCCGTAACGAGTGCATTTCTAATAGCATAAAATGATCTTTATCTTGATTTTGATCGGTTAATTTATTTCCATGGCAGCTATACGCTATAGTAATCCGATCTGAACAATATCTTCGGAGATTGTCTGTGCCAAATTTCGTAAAGATAATATGTCAAATAAAAAAGTT